TTCTTATCCATCAGTTTCTGACACTCCTTAGGTTTCTAACGCTAATTTATATGTATCTTTGTTGTATTCTGCAAATATGTCTCTAGTTTTTCCAGAATTTTATGAGTTCTTCTGAGGTATCCATGGAACTTTGTACATATGGTTATCATTTGTAGCAAACTAAACCTCCAACGAAAGAGAAGAAAGGGATAAGGATTCTGATTCATGGTCATGGTCAACTTCATATCTCAAAAGTAAATGCAATTTACCCCAATCATGGCTTTGGTGTTGCATTTTCTCTCATCTATGATCATTACAATACACTTTATATTCCATACGCTAAATGACCATATGGTCAAAATCCGTGTGGAATCAGCAGTAACCTATTTAAGTTTTACTATTTAGGTTTAAGGGTTTAGTATTTAGTGTTTTTATTTAGGGTATAAAGTTTAGGGTTTAGGATTTAGGTTTTTTTTGTTTTATGTTTAGGGTTTAGATTTTAGTGTTCAAAGTTTTTTAAATCCATGTGGATAGAATTGATTGTTCACATATATATTTCTATTAGTGAACACGTGTTCAACTACATATGGATAACATAAAATATAAAAATTCATCAAAAACATAGCAAAATGCATCTTAAAATATAGGAAAAATATAATCATAAACTATTGTACAAAAAAAAATAGATAATATTTTGACAAAAATTATCTATAGTGAAAACAAGAAATAAAAGAAAGTGAGAAGAGAATAAAAAGAAACTAAAAATATTTTTCCTTCACTTCAAATCCGACGGTTGAGATTAGATGAACCCAAGTACTCTTTCAAACACAACAAAAGGTTATTTTCATCTTACAATTTGACACCTCGGTAGAAAAGATGTGGGAAAGTACACCTCCCTTTCCAAGTATCTTATCTTGCAAAGAAAAGCAAGCAAAGTATGTTATTCAGCAATTCACTCATAATAATATGTCTTCTAGTCCTTTTCAGTTAGTTCATATAGATATATGGGGTCCTTTTTCTATAGAATCTGTTGCTGGTTATAAATATTTTCTTACCATAGTTGATGATTGTACTAGAGTCACTTGGTTTATATGTTGAAACAGAAAAGTGAAGTGTCAAAATTTTTTCCAGATTTTATAAAAATGATTATTACTCAATACAAGTGTAAGATTCAAGCTATAAGAAGTGATAATGCACCTGAATTGAATTTTACAGATTTACTTAAAGAACATGGTATGCTGCATTATTTTTCTTGTGCTTATACACCTCAAAAAAATTCTGTAGTTGAGAGAAAAAATCAACATCTATTAAATGTTGCTAGAGCTTTACTTTTCCAATCAAACATCCCTTTAGTCTATTGGTCTGATTGTGTTCTTACTGCTGTATTTTTAATCAATCGGCTTCCTTCCCCTTTACTAAATAATAAATCACCATATGAAATTCTGATGCATAAAGTTCCAGATTACACTTCTTTGAAATCTTTTGGATGTTTATGCTATGTTAGTACTCTAGAAAAGGATAGGAATAAATTTACTCCTAGGGCTCAGGCTAGTGTTTTCTTAGGTTATCCTAGTGGTTATAAAGGTTTTAAGATACTGAATATTGATGATAATACTGTTGCTATATCCAGAATGTAATCTTTCATGAAAACATTTTCCCTTTCAAAGATAAAACATATGTTCCTAATGATTTCTTTTCCCATACTGTTTTACCTTGTTCTGTGCCTTACATATATGATTCTAATGAACATGCTTCTGTTTCATTTCCTACACATTCTGCTAGTACACATGCATTAGTTCCTAGTTCTCCTATTGCATCTGATAATCGGTTATCATCATCATTAGTGAATGGGGATTCTAGGACTGTTACTAATACTAGCGATACTGTACTACCCGGAACTACTAATATTTCTTTGCCTAGTGGGAGATTACGGCGACAGACGAGGGCACCTAGTTATCTTTCTGAGTATCACTGTGCTTTAGCAAAAATTTCTCCACCTTTACCACCCAAACACACCACCCCTTACCCTCTTTCGGACTTTCTATCATACAACAAATTCCATCCCATTTTCTGTTCTTACATTCTTTCATACTCCATGGAAACTGAACCCAAAAATTTTAAGCAAGCCATGGCATCTGACAAATGGAAAGGAGCTCTTAATGAGGAGTTGCAGGCTATGGAAAGAAACAACACCTTCAGCATATGCTCTTTACCTCAAGGGAAGAACATAGTTGGCTGCAAATGGGTTTTCACCATCAAGTATAACTCTGATGGTACTATTGAGCGTTACAAAGCCAGACTGGTTGCAAAAGGCTTTACTCAACAAGAAGGAGTTGATTTTATTGAAACTTTTTCTCCTGTGGCTAAACTGACGAGTGTTAAGCTTATGTTGGGTTTGGCAGCAAAGAAAGGATGGCGACTTACTCAAATGGACGTCTCAAATGCTTTTCTTCATAGTGATTTGGATGAGGAGATATATATGAGTCTTCCGCAAGGTTATACTCCAGGTAACAATGTTACTTTACCTCCAAATGCAGTTTGTCGATTGCACAAATCATTATATGGATTAAAGCAAGCTTCTAGGCAATGGAACCAACTTTTCACATCTGTTTTGCTGAATGCTGGATTCATACAGTCAAAATCAGATACTACATTGTTTTTGAAGTTTGCTGAGACTGGTTTCATAGCATTGCTAGTTTATGTGGATGATATAGCAATTGCTAGTAACAATGATGCTGATCTAGAGGCGCTTCAAGCTGTACTTCATAAGGCATTCAAGGTCAAAGATCTAGGTACACTTCGTTTCTTTCTTGGCCTAGAGATTGCGAGATCATCAAAAAGAATCTTTGTGTGTCAAAGGAAGTATGCCTTAGATTTGCTAGAAGATACATGTCTGCTTGCTTGCCAACCGAGTCCTGTTCCTATGGATCCATATAAGAACTTAACCATGGATACAGGGACAAGACTGGACAATCCAACTCCATATAGAGAACTTATTGGCAGGCTTCTCTATTTGACCATCACAAGGCCGGATATCACTTTTGCGGTTAACAAGCTGAGCCAGTTTTTGCAATCTCCAACAGATGATCATTATCATGCTGCTCTCAGAATCCTGAAGTATATCAAAGGAGATCATGGTCTTGGTCTTTTCTATTCAGCAGAAACAGACCTTTGTCTCAATTCTTTTGCTGATGCTGATTGGGGTACCTGTTTGGATACAAGACGCTCTGTTTCTGGCTATTGTGTTTTCTTAGGGACATCCTTGATTTGTTGGAAGTCTAAGAAACAGAAAATTGCAAGCAGGAGTAGCACTGAAGCGAAATATAGAAGTATGGCTGATGCAACTCGTGAGGTTATTTGGATTCAACAATTACTTGCTGATTTTCGGATTCAGGTAACTCACACGACCAAGCTCTTCTACGACAACAAGTCAGCTGTGTATATCGCCACAAATCCAGTCTTTCATGAGCGCACCAAGCATGTTGATATTGACTGTCACACTGTGCGTGATCAATTGAAGCTTGGCACTCTTAAAGCTATGCATATTGATGGAGAAAACCAGCTGGCAGACATTCTCACCAAACCATTACAACCTGCACTTTTTCAGAGTATGGTTGAACGATTATCACTGTCAAGCCTTTGTCCAGCTTCTACAGAATCAACTTCAAAGGCTTGAGGGGGCATATCTGAGTAGTTTATGTTAGCATATTAGCTCATGTTAGCATTAACAGTCAGCGTATGTTAGCAGTAATTAAGATTGTATATAAACAAACTATACTGTACATTTACATAATAATGAGAATTTTACTTCTATCTTCTTCTTTGTTTCGTCGTCTCTCTCAACTCGATATCTGAGTTTGTTACAAAGAAGCAAGATCTGATATATGTAAGAATGGCATTCTACTACTTAATTAGATAATTTGTAACCATTGTAGTCTCGGTTAAACTGATACGTTCAAATGTTTTAAATAGGAGAATGATACAAATACATTGATGATATGTTGAAAAGAGCAGCAGTAAAAAATATATTTTTGTAAAATTAAACTAAAAGATTTCTTTGCCTTATATTTCTTTAATAACATTTTGGGTTGATTATAAACTTTAAAGTTTTAGACCTTCAGTTTATATTTTATGATAAAAATAGAATAATACTACATTTAATTTTAGGAATATTTCCTTATTTATAAAGTATTTAAAAGAAATATAATTTTACAATATAATTTTATTTATTTATATATTAGTTATTTGATTAAAAAAAATAATTCCGTGCGTATGCAGGGGATAAATTCTAGTACTGCATATTTGGATAGTCAACTAAATACAAAATATTTATTTAAAAAAAAAGAATACATATTAATTTAGGAAAAAGAATAATAACTGTTATTTAAAAAATTAGTGACTAATGAACCTTTTTGTTTTGGATGTAAAAACTTCAAAAGTTTGAATATAATTAAAATCAGAGATAAGAGAGAATCTAGTGAATTTTTTCTAGTCCACATTTTTGTTTTCCAATATAGTTAAAAATATAAGTATTTCTGTTATTCAAATTATTAATATTACTAACTTTAAAAATTAACAGTTAAAAGTTCTCAATAAATACAAACACAATCCAAGACGTGTGTTCTCCACACTCTCTAGTCTTACTCATATAACCATGGCCGAGTCTCATAACAACGTGAACATGGACATGGAGAATGATCAAGAAAAGGGTTTTGACTACTCTAAACGAGCTCAATGGCTACGAACCGCGGTTCTTGGTGCAACCGACAGTCTTGTCTCGACAGCTTCACTTATGTTGGGTGTTGGTGCGGTCAAGCAAGACGTCAAGATCATAAGTTGGCTTTGGTGATGTTCGGATGATTAGGTGCGGTTTTGGGGAAAGCACCATTGGTTAAGTCGTCGCTTAGGGTCTTGATTGGTGGATGGTTAGCTATGGCTGTTACTTTTGGTTTTACAAAACTTGTTGGGTCACATGCTCTGTGATATGTATGTCTTACTTATGTGACCAAACTCTTCCTTAATGTTTCATGCTTCAAATCTAATATATGTTTTGGTCAGTGTTACAATAATGTATTGCATATTCATTAGCAATTAAAGAAGCCAGAGTTATACTTATAACTTATCTAGTCATCTAAGCTCCGATGAAACCTAACAGGCGGTATGGGAACCCGGCCGGGTACAAGGTCGTAGCTGGTGATTCATATTCTGGTTGCAAGTTTGATTACCAAGACTCTTCGCCTGAGGAAAATTCCAACGATGATCTGTTTGCGAAAACTACGACAAACATGTAGGATTTAAGCTGGATTATTCCATGGTGTATAAGAACAAACCATTCACAATATGAAATGTCTTAAAAGAAGAAGAACAATACATTACGGGCTATGTAGTATTCTTCTTCTTCTTATTCACACACTCCTCTAGAAGCCTTTAATCCTGGATGTTGTTCAAATTTCAACCGTCCAAATCCTTCAATAGATCAAAATCATGCTATCTATTGCACTGTGCTTTTGACACTCTGGATTCGGCAAGTTAATTGTTTGGTTAAAAACCAACTCAAAAACATAAGAAACGTAAGACACAACATTTTGAGAAGATTGGTCATAGATCTTGCAGTGTTTTTGAACATTTCTTAGATGAGATTTCATCTAAAGATGTTGCAGCGCACGTTTGTGCTTCCCGGCGTCACTAGGAAAAAAAAAGCGATATGACTAAGCAGTAGCTACTTTGGCATCGAAAAAGTGAATCCTCTACAGTAGCTACTTTGGTCTGAGTTATCAAGAAGCATATGTTTTCATAAGGAAATGAGGATAATCTCAGAAACAAAGAATGTTGCAGAGTTTTCACTCACAAAGACTAACTCAGACAAAGAGAGATCATCAACTCTACAAGATCAATTTCGCATCCATTGATTGTACCATGTTGGAAACAGCATATCAACAAGGTGTGTTTATGAACGCTTTTTCACTTGAACTACAAATTTCATTTTCTAAACAAGTCAACAGACCATAGAAGAAGTTATGAATCTACCACATACAACTGGATTTTGACAAAATCGAAACATAGAACTACATAAGACAGCATTCAAATACTTCTCTTTTGGTCAAAATATCAAATCATCATTCCTACCCACTGGAACATTTGTTCTTTTCTACACACTGCTCAAGATTGCACAAACCGCTAAATAGCAAACATTCTCAACAAGACTGATAAGAGCAGAGCATCCAATTCAGATCTATCATCTATCCGACCAATCTATATAGTCAAAGCCACGCAGATGAAGACAAATAAAGAAAGGAGTAGATACCTTTTGGACATCAAGGATGTAATGGCATTGGTGAGGGAGTATCAAAACTTTAAAGGTGCAGCTATACTGTTAAGTTAAAAAATGAAAATGTTAGGATAACGAATATGCAACGCGTCACATATAAAGAGCCAAGCTATAGACTTTCCAACACAAACAGCTTAGCAGGATAACTGAATCGGTAAACAATATCAAACTACTAGAGAAAGTTCACAAACTACACTAATGCAGGAATGTTTAAAACTAAAAGCATTGGGGAGATAATGAATATTCCCAGGGTGAAATGCCACTGAATGTTCCATCACAAGATTCTTTAAATTGTGTAGAAAAAGACATCCCGGAAACTTTTCCGATGAGACTGATTCGAAAAGGGACTTGGCCAAGACTGATTCTATGTTTCTTCTACCTTCAACTGCATTACACACTACTTTTAAAACATCTAGAATATTATAATCACAGGTATGAAAAACCACAGTCACTACTTTTGTTCAAAAACATACCAATAGCTTAATCAATTGATTACAGCGATAAAAAAGCACCGCAGTCACTACTTTTCCAAACATATGCGAAGAGATTAATCAATCAGTCTCACTAACACACAATTATATAATTTAACATTATCTGTAAATATGATTCTTAAAATACAATGATTCAACAAATGTATCTGACCTGATTACATCTGTTTATCACAATTATTTGATGGGTTGTGTAGTAATATTGATATGATAGAGTAATATTCTCTCAGCTTTTGTCATGTGAGCTCAGTGTAAAGTTGATGTTGTCTGATATAATCTATTACTCCATCTTCAGTCAAGTATTTAACCGATAACCCTCGCGAAATGCATTGCCTGAAAGAAGCAGAGTATTAAGCAAGAGAAACCATTTTTAGCGTAAATGATATGTTATCGCGAAAGATTAAACCTCACGCTACCTTAATCTACTCGAACTAATCTGATTAGGAACAAGATTGTCGACGATTCTGATATTATCCTACAAAATAAACCGTATCAGACTGATATGACTGATTGATACAGGGGAATACAAAAAAATCAAAACTCGGTAAAACTTACACTACTTTCGTTTAAGATTTTGTCACTAGAGATCATATTCTCAGCATCTTGTCCTTCTCTACGGATGCACACAATGCCATAGTCTTGACAAATAGTTCTTACCTTCAAATTCCCAAAAATGAAAAAAGCATAACTGTGAGTAGAATTGATAAAACAAAATCGCCATTTATATAACAATGCTGCCTTGGTTATAAAATCATTGGTTTACCTGTTCAGGGATCCAAACACCGGGAGTACAGAAAGATTGCAGTAAATCCGAGCCACATAGTAGCATAACTTTGAGAGATTCTAGCATTAGAAAGCTCATATTATAAATTTGAGTTTGTCACAAAACATAGCAAACAACCCCATTGAGATGATCGCGCAATTATCCAAAAAATGTAACTGAGATATACTATAGAAGATGCTAAAAGCCCACATATTTTTGTCTTACCCTCGGGTACATGTTGATCTATTGTTAAGAAAGTTTTGACCCTCGATAAAACCGCCAAAGTTCGTTGATAGCTGCGTTGAGATGCCTGTAGAAAACAGCTTCCAAAAGTAATGTAAACAACGCTTTGTTCCTCCTCTAAAGAGAACTAATTAAAAACTTTTCGAAAGATGAGATAGTGAGATAGTACCTCCCATGAATCAACCATTACAAAGTCAGAGCTTTGACAAGCTAGATTACACATCTGTAAACGATGTTTTGCAGATAAAAGATCCTACACAATAATATTATAGTTTCTAAATGAAATTAAACACAACATTAAGCATTGGTTTAGAAAAAAACTAAGAAACTGAGATTCAAAAGTTTTCATACCTTCTTCTTGTATGCATCATTAACAGGAGACATATAACCTCCAAGAACATGAAATCCTTCCGAGTGTAATGCATCTCTCGCAAGCTCTAAAGACGAAAAAGACAGAACTTATCAGTTTGATGGGGAAAAAAAACAAATACATGAGAACAAACCTATAAGTTCTACTGTTCTGTCTTTTCATATCCTCAACTAATATATACAAAGCTAATTCAGACAATAACCACAGATCATTGTCATATGGTAAGAACTCACCAAACATGCGTAGATGCATAAAAGTAGGAGGATTGAAACTCCCAGTCGCCACTAGCACTACTAGACAAGCCTTGTCCCTGATTCAGACAAAACCAATCGAATAAAATAAATTCAGACATCCCAAGCAGATCAAACACACAAAATCAGAAGAAACAAAAATCAAAGCTACGAAATTTATTACTCAGTCTTTGAATCAATGGATAATTTATCAATTGGTAAAGAGACATCATCCATTGAACTTGAACTCGAATCTGAGTATCTCTATTCACACACTGATGAACAAGATTCAAATCCCTAAAAACTTAAAAATTGGGTCTTTCTTTTGTACAATGACCATTATACCCTTCTCCTACCGACTTATCATCTTCCTCCAATGGTTTCGAATTTTCTGAAGTCTCCAAGAGATTCACACATTGAAGAAGAAGGGATTCAAATCCCTAAAAACTTAAAAATTGGGTCTTTCTTTTGTACAATGACCATTATACCCTTCTCCTACCGACTCATCATCTTCCTCTTCTCCTCCTTTCCTCCTCCGACGATTTAAAATTCTCTGAAATTTCACAACTTTCCCCAAAATTCGAAATACCCAACAAGGCAAATGACCAGACCCAGCAGATCATCAAGCTCCAACACGAACCCAGATAGAATCGAATCACAAACAACAACCTCAAGGTCAGTGACACAAACCCTAAACGGATCGCACCAATTCGTGATTCAAGGATACAGTTTAGCTAAAGGGATTGGAGTTGGGAAACACATAGCGAGTGATAATTTCTCCGTGGGAGGTTATAAATGGACAATCTTTGTCTACCCAGATGGTAAAAACTCAGAGGATAGCTCTTCTTACGTCTCTGTGTTCGTCGCTCTCGCTAGTGATGGTACTGAAGTAAGAGCGCTTTTTGAGCTTGCCCTTGTTGATCAAAGTGGTAAAGGGAATCATAAGGTTCATAGCCATTTCGATCGTTCGCTTGATGGTGGTCCTTATACGCTTAAATATAAAGGAAGTATGTGGTATGGCTTGATTCTTGATTCGTGATTCTTGATTCTTGATTCTTGTTGATGGATTGAAGAATTTGAATTGTTTTTAAAATGTTACTCTTGGCATCTCAGCTGTGTACTGTTAGGGAGGATCTAAGTTTGAACTCTGTTTGTCGATGTGTGCATGATGTTTCATGTTAATACAGTTTTGACGAATTCAGATATTAGATTCGGTTCGATAAAGTTTTCGACTTGCTCGTTTTATAATGTTCGTTCTTGTTCGATTTTTAATCATGAAGATGAACTCTGTTTGTCAATGTGTGGATGATAGTTCATGTTAATACAGTTTTGAAGAATTCAGGTATTATACTCGTTTCGATAAAGTGTTCGACTTGCTCGTTTTATAATGTTGGTCTCTTTCTCCATTTCTAATCATGAAGATGAACTCTGTTTGTCAATGTGTGCATGATAGTTCATGTTAATACAGTTTTGACGAATTCAGATATTATACTCGGTTCGATAAAGTTTTTGACTTGCTAGTTTATAATGTTAGTCTCTTGTTCGATTTCTGATCTTGAATATGTGTAAATTATTGGGGACAAGAATAGGGTTTGGGTGGTTCTAATGGTAAATCTATAAATTCTAAGGTGTGCTAGCTACCTGAACTTTCATAGTTTTGTTAAGATAACCTTGTTAAGGTGCTTTACTGAAATTTCATTTTTAGTGTGGTGGCGTCAGCTTTGAGTGTTTACAGTATCTTCAATGGCTGATTAATTTTTTAGACACTCTTTTTGCTGTTATCTTTTGTACTGCTACCTTAGAGCTCTCTAATTCTTGATTCTATTGTTTGGATTTTGAATAGGGGATACAAGCGTTTCTTCAGACGTTCGTTGCTTGAGACATCTGACTACCTTAAAGACGATTGTTTGATAATCAATTGTACAATTGGAGTTGTTTCTTCGGAAATACACTGTCCGCGGTTACACTCTATACATGTCCCTGATTCAGAACTTGGATCAGATTTTGGAAATTTGCTGGATACTTTGGAAGGCTCGGATGTCGAATTTGACATTGCTGGGGAGAAGTTTCGAGCTCATAAATTGGTTTTGGCTGCACGATCTTCATTCTTCAGATCAAAGTTTTACAATATACTGGAAGCGAACAACAATGAGTTAGTGATCAGTGATTTGGAACCTAAAGTCTTCAAGGTACGAATTTCGAGTTTTATAGCTTCTTTTAATCATTTTCTCGTCTGTGTATTATTTGTCGGTATTTTATCCATGGCAATGTTTCACCTTATACAGGCCTTGTTACACTTCATGTATAAAGACTCTCTCTCGGGAGATGTGGAACCAGTAACGGCTCATTCATTTAACCTATTAAAGCTGTCTGAAATCGATGAGACACTGATCGTAAAGCTTTTGGCAGCTGCAAACAAATACAATCTGAGTAGGCTCAGACTATTGTGTGAATCTCACCTCTGCAAAGGCATATCTATCAGCTCCGTATCCAAGATCTTAGCTTTATCAGACAGATATAATGCAACTGAACTAAAAAGCGTTTCCCTAAAATTCGCTGCTGAAAACCTACAAGGTACAATCACGATACAGCTTTACGAGACAATGCTGACATAAATCTTCTGTAAGTTTTCTTTTTCTAATGGCTGTCTTGGAAACTATAGCTGTTCTGCAGACAAAAGCTTATGAAGATCTGAAAGATGACTATCCAAACCTCCAGTCCGAGCTACTACAGGCGGTAGCTGGTTATGACGAAACAAGTAGCAGCGGAGAAGGAAAGTCTCAGAGTGTTTGGGGCCAACTCTCTGACAATGGTGAGACCAGTAGCCGAAGACTAAGACAGCGAACCACATAGAGGAGCTTCACCTTTTGTTTGTTGTAAAGCAAAGTACATTGTTTTATATCTTTTGCTTATGACTCATAAAAAGGTTAACCCATGTATCTTTTTATTGCCCATATAAGCTACTCAATGAAAAGGATAGTGTAATCTAACTTATTCTGACTGTTTTGAAAACATGACTCTTCTCTTCCAAAATTCATATATTTTTTGTTCTTTTTTTGGTCAAACTGGAGAATTATTATTATTAACATCAAAAAGTCAACACGACAAAAGTCTACAAGCTAACAAAGCCAAAATATAGTAACCAAGCTAGTATAAAAAACAATTATACAATCAGAAAAAAACCGGATCTCTTATTTAACAACATCCCAATCCGCAGAAACCGAATCTCTTACTAAACTCCATCCCAATCCGGAAAAATCGAATTTCTCACTTTTTAACTTCATACCAAGAACCTTTACATTTAACGCGTGAGCAAAAATATACATACTTTCCGCGTTTACTATAGTTTTTTATTTTATTTTTTTCTCTTATAACCACTCTTTTTTAAAGCCAAACCGAAATATAATTTCATCTAATTACAAAATCTAAACTCTAACCACTATTTTGTCTACCTAATCCAAAATAGAATTTCGTTTAATTACAAAATATTAACTCTAACCACTATTTTGTCAACTCAAACCGGAATATAATTTTGTTTAATTACAAAATCTAAACCTTAACCACTAATTTGTCAACCCAAACCAAAATATAATTATTTTTAATCACAAAATCTAAACCTGGACAACTAATTTGTCAGCCCAAACCAAAATATATTTCCTTAATAAAAATCCTACAAAATTTGTTTACTTAATTTGTTTTATTTTTTTTGTTTAGTTTTAATTTACCTTTTTAAATAAAAAATAACGTGACATATTGTTGTTTTACTGTAATTATTTATTACAATATATAACAAAAATAAAGACTTCTATAACTTACTTGCACCTAAAGCTACCTAAATTCCCCCTTTTTCCCCATGTCTTTACTTTTTCCTTATAATTTAAAGATTTGACCACGCTCAATCAAAAGTCACGCTCAAATAATCAAAACACGTGTCCGTCGGAATAAACAAAAACTTAAATTACTTGTTCTCCAAGTCGGTTCTAAATAAAAACCCTATATAACAAAGACAACATAATCTCCTAATTTAACTCGCTAGAAACTTTCCTTTTTACACACAACTTTCCAAATCCTAATAGGAATCAATCACCTTTAGATTTCTCTTCGTCTCTATATATATATAACAAAACACAACAACAACAAACTTACCTTATACTACTTTTCATAACTAGTGTTTCTTGTTGTTGTGTTGAACCAAGAACGATGGCTTCAGAAGTAACGTACGGTGAAGAAGAACAAGAAAGGATGTGGTGTGGTCACTGCTGCGTCAAAACTCCTGTCCGTCGTGAAGGAACCAATGGTTCTGTCAAGTATGTTTATGTTTCATTCTTTCACCAATTTGTTTTCTATTTCTATCTTTTTAGGTGTTTACTATATTTGTGATTTTGATTGTTTCAGGTCGTGTAATTGGTGTGGTAAAGTGTTAGCAGATGAGACTGGAACAGCTGATGAATATAATCAACTCTTTCTTCAACTTCAAGCTTTACAAGACTATGTTTCTAACAAGAGGAGAAGGACTCGTCGTTTCAAGAAACAACAAAACTCATAATTTTTATATATTAATTTGCTATTAGTAGTTCAAACCTTCAAACATATATGAATCTGTTTGTTTTTGGTTGCTAGATGATTACTTATAATCAAGGTTATGTATAAATCTTGCTATCATTGTTAATTAATATATCTATCTATATATATATATATATATATATATAT